TAATGATATAATTGTGATAATATCATATAAAAAAATATTTATTATTATATAAATTGGACTTTACATACATAAACTACAATTATGACAATCAGAATAGAAATGAATAACATAAAAATATATATTTATCTCGGTTATATTTTAAAGTCACTAAAAATATTGTTGTATCCGAAATGATCTGAGAATCATATAACAAAATAATAAATAAAAAAAGGTCAGTAACCAATGCATGGCAATATATTAAAAGTGACAATGCACACTGCTCTCCCTGTTGACTTTTCATCTACATTTTGAACTGGCATCGCGCATAATAATTGTATTTATTTTTAGTTATTTAAACTCTTAAATTTCTCATACCCCTTCATGAATAAGCTATTATATTGTTAAAAAATAATAATAATACACAACTCAAATAGGATATGATTCTAACAATCCCATATTCCGCAGAAGCTTAACTTGCCAACTATCAATAAGTCTTACATTTTAATATACAGGTTTAAATATATTTTTAAATTTATGAAAAATTTATTTCTATCTCTCAAATTTAAAATTATTTTTAATCCCTGTAATTTTAAAAAATATTATTTTAATCTCTTAACTCATCAATAATATTTCTAAAAATGACAATTGAGATAATTATATAATATTAACTAAATTTAATGTAATGTTACTACTAGGAGACACATCGATGTTATCCAGACACATTGATGTTGCCCATGAATGCTAAGAGCACAAGCTGGTAAAAACTCATAATAAGATGTATAATGCATTATTTATCCACGCATTTTCACGCAAGTCCCTAGAATATAATAGGATCTTCCTAATATTAGAATGTGAATATAGGATTGACAAGTTCTAATCCAAAAAAGAGAGAAAAGAGAAGAGTGTAGTGCTCAATGCATTTTATTCATACTGCTTCTCCATATTTATAGAAGAAAATACTGACCATTGTGACTATTATTAATCATAATTATTAAAACCAATTAATTTTAAAAGTTTGATAATTAAAATTAATTAAAACTACATTAGCAAGTTATTATATATCTTATTTAAACCAATATTAATTAGGTTTTAAAATTAATAATTAATAAAATAAATATTTTAAATTAAAATTAAAATTAAAATTATTTTTGTAAATAAATTAATCTTTTGAAAGCATCTTTGAAAATACTTACACGGTCGTTTTGTCAAGTGAGTCACCAATTTATGTAGGCTCATGTTGATTTAAAAATATTATAAAAAATATATATCAGAGAGTCGTGCGTCTGCATGTATTGTGTCTCTTTGTGAAATAGAGAGAAGAAGAAAATTTCTGTAAGAAGGAGTGGAACAACCAACATTGCAGAAGAAGTTTGTTTGATACTAATTTCTGTGTATTTTGGTTTTCTCTATTGTTTGGTTAGATACTCATTTGAGAGTTTTCTTATATTGTTATCCACTACATTGATGAGGAGTTATTTCTAGTGATCCCTAGTGATTCTAGAAGGACTTGTAGTGTACCCATTGATTATTATTAGTGGAGTTTTTACTAGACTAGGTCTCGTGGGTTTTTTACTTCACATTGAGGGTTTTTCCACGTTGAAAATTTGGTGCCTGTTGATTTTTTTTTTTTTGAAATTATCTTTTGCTTCCACAACCTATTATTATTTATACGGGAAAAAAGAAGATTCAATTTTGCTTCCACTATTAATTGTTATTATTTTGTTATCTTTCCTAACACGCTCAGAGCGAGTAATATGGGTGCACTGAGTGAGGGATCAAACCTAAAAGTCCATTAGAAATATTATATAAATAAGGTCTCTAGACTCTAATAAGTCTTTGTATTCCATTTCCTAGATAATAATGCTTCTTAGCATAATTTTAGAAAGATTAGAGAGTTCTTATGAGATCAATATTGTAATCTTGTAATCATGGATTGCTCAAGGGTTCCTTTATATAAATAAGGTCTCTCTTGTTGGAGATAGAGGTAACTGCTTGAACTATGTGATTTTTTCCTTGTTTTTCATTCAATAAAGTATCTATTCAATTAATTATTTTATTATTATACTAATATTTTTTGTAGCCTAATCAACCTCTTCTTAATCTTATAAGTTTTAACTGAGGTTGGAAAACCCTTTTTTAAAATTACAACGTAGATAAAACATTGATGACATTTATTATCAAGGAATTGAAATAAACCTATCAGTTAACTTTTGGTCCTTGACCTTAATGTAGGATTGTTTAACAAAAATTACCAAAAAATTAGGATTTTTCTTAAACAACCTAGAATTTCCCACCTAAGAAATTATGATTTAAATACATTTGTGAACTGTTAAATTAACTATATAATTACAATGTTGAATGGAAAATAATTTCAACTTCTTATTAAATTACCTATTTAGTAAAAAAATATATTAAACAATTTTAAACTCAAGTCCCAGTGAATTCGATATTCGGACTTTTGCCATCTTTACTACTACGTCAATTGGTATATTTTTCAAATGTGTATCAAGACACATAGGATGATTTCCACTATAACAAGCTTATGAGGTCTATTTTCATAGGCATGAGTCCACCAACTCTTACTTCTTCGAAAGCGTAAGACATATTTTAATACATAAGCACTTATGCTTTACTAGTTTCAAGTAATGTGGGACTCACTAGTGCAAAAATTCATTTATTGACAGGTTTTTTCTATTAGGTGACATCCACATGACATAGAAAGTGGCACAGTGGCATACTAGTAATTATGTCAAAACTTTCTATGATGGGTGTTAACTTATCCAACATAGAAAAAAATATTCTATGACATGTGAATTAACACTCATCATAGAAAGTTGTATTATTAGACCCCACAGCACAAATTCAATTCGCACTCTTGTCTTCTTCCTCTTCGTCCTATTATTCTAACGACCTTTTCCTACTAGCAACTACCCCCATTCTAACTTCCTTTAACATCCATTGACTGCCAGCGACACTCCTAAGTTTAGGAGACCTTAATTAAATTTCGTTCAAGCTTCTTCTTCTTTGAAACCTCACACTTCCATATTTGTTCTCATTTTCCCTCCTCTCTTTTTTCTGCATTTGATGTTGGGTTTTCATTGTTTTGGTGTTGTTGATCAATGATTTGGGGGATTGTTTTTGTCATTGAGATTGTTTCCATTTATATGCTTAGTTATGTCAATGTCTTATATTAATTGTTAGGATTGATCGATTATGAGTGAACATTAGTTTTTCGTTTGAGATTGAATACAATACTTATGCAATTAATATATAATCATTATATTGAATCTCTAATTCTCCATTTGGACAATTTGAAATGATATATATATATATATGTTATCCAGACACATTATATAGAGGTTAAGTTTCATTTTAAATTTGATAAGTCAAATGTCAAATGTTAATCTAATACTTAGTTGAATTAAAATATATTCTAGTTATGTTTTATGTTCTGGTATTGCCTAAAAAGTCCCACATCGCTTAGAAGTCGAGGCTAAGGGTAGTTTATAAACACTCTTCCTCCTTAACCCACCGAGGCGCCTTTTCAAGGACAAAACTGTGACGGCCCAACGAGCGCCAAAGCGGACAATACCTCGGATGCGGTGACCCTAACGATGACAGCGAATTTACGGTAGGAACATTTTATATTCACTAAATTTAGTAAACCATAATGTCCACATCAACTGAGTAACCATGAGTGTGCCTATTATGTAATGAAATACATGTTTACCATTATTAACAACAATATTAGGAATTCATGGAGGGAGGTAATATATATTTAAATCTATTTAATATTACTTTAAATAATTATTTAATCATTTAATGATCGACTAATATTTAACTTATTTCTATTTTGAAATTGTAGGTATTTAAAAATTTAACTCCATTTGTCAATGAAGAGTTGGAGAATATCCAAAAACAATGGGCATTGACTTGTTTAGAGTCACTTTGATGGCTAACTTTTTTTTTTAATTTTTTAATTTTAACATTCTTATAGTTTTCTTTTTGTACATTGGTATTAATATTTAACATTGTTATAAAATGTACACTTTAACTTGATTGTTGATAGTTACATTTGTACATTCTTATAGTAATTGTTGATTGTTATTACTTAATGGTAGTATTTGTTTACTTTAATTTCATTGTTAACTCTCTTTGATTGTTAGCTAGTTTAGTTTGTACACTCTTTAATAAATTTGAGAGGTATTGTGTATATATCATAGGACTGTATTGAATTTTTTTGGTAAGCAGGACTATATTGAATTGAGCAACCATATATTGTATTAAACTTTCCATTAAATTATATTTTTTATATGCAAGTTTGAAAAAATTTACAAAGTAAACAATTTTTTTTTTAAAAAAAAAACTTCACTTTATATAACAAGTTAGACCTTACCATCATAAAATTTGGGTGTCAATATGAGTAAAACATTATATTTGGATGTCATATTATGATAGACATTGACCTCCCATCATATAAAGTAGATTTTTTATATTATATATTAATTCATAAAATGTATTAATATTTTATGTCGTCAGAATTGATGATAGGTCAAAGCCAAAAACATCCTATATAGAAACTTTTTAGCACAATAGTGACATCATTTTTTTTTTAAATACTACACATATATACAACAATTTCATGTTGATTTTCAATATTGTTAGGGTACATAATATGTTGAAGTTTTCAAACTAGTTTTTTTTTTTATTTCATTATATAAGTTATTTTGATATACAATTATACAATAGTAATCCATTAAGGTAACTAAAGCTGGAAGCAATATTCCCGGCTCATTGAACGCTCTTATAACTCGCAATTATTGAATTGTTAATTATCCGGTGATGATTGTTAATCCAATATTCCTCTAGAAAGAATTAAGAATGATTGAAAAGGGGCACAAAATTCGGAAATGTAGGAGGATAGGAGACAGTGGTGGATAACTCGTGAAGTGACAAAACAACCCTTTTCGAGTTACAACATGGCTTCTTTGTGTCTCCTTTGTTGCTTTCTTCACCAACAACACAAACAAAGATGATACCACACCAATGGGCTTCTCCATGTGGAAACCAATGCACCAATAAATACGCTGCTCTTACCAAAATCCCATGTAATCTTATGTTACCCTTTCTTAATTTCATCAACGTTCAATTTCCCATATGCATGCATACATGTAAACCTTTTCTACGTGATTTCATGCATATTTTCAATGTTTAGGTATTCAAACTATTTTTTTTTCTTCATTTTATAAGTTATTTTGATATACATTATAATTCATTAAGGTAACTGAAGGAAGCAATATCTCTTATTGTTATAGCTATTATGGTTGATGATGTCGATGTGAGGTTAATTGGTTTAGGGTCTGCACTGTACTCACAATTCCTACTTGTTTTATTGTAGGGCGAGTGTTCTGCAAAAAGGGTTGCGACTCAGATGGAGAAACATGGGAAGAATGTGAGATCACTTTGCCTCTTTGTTAATGTTTTTTTCTTATTAATGCTATGAAGATAAGAAAAAAATTATTCACTCAAAATCTAGGCCTTATTAATTTCACTATGATGTATGTCTGCATCAATACTATCATAATAGTCACTGACTTTTTTTTTTCTTTTTTCTGTTTCCTGTCCTGAATTAATCATATTAAAAATTTGTTTGGGCATAAAAATTCTATTTGGAAATACAAACTCTTTGAGGGAAAATACTAATTACCTTTGGCATATTGGAGTTCAGGAATAATGAAATTGAGCGAAACAGTTTTTTTCCTTAATGAGTCGTGTCATAAGACTGTTAGTTTTTGCTATTGAAGCAACAAAGACTGAATATACATGGTCAAACATTGGCTTAGGCTTTTAGATGGCAGAAGTAGTTAGTTTATCACATAATTTGAGAAGAGGATTGCTAGCAACTTGGTTTATCTGTGTTTTCTTCCTGGCACATACTGAGAAACGGAATTGAAAATATATGATTGTAAAAATTGAGCTTGCTGAGTGACAACTTGATTTTGATTAAGAAATGATAAGAGTATTGGTTAGCTAGGTTTGGAGGAATGCGATCAAATGTGCTACAAGGATCCTGTACTAAAGGACCAGCAGTGGAGTGCCTATATTGATCGATCCCCTGGTGCTGCTGGTTATTCAGAGGTAATTTTTTTTACAAGTAAAAATTACAATAACGGTACTAGAATTCAAATCTAAAACTCTAAGAATATTACTTTAGTTTCTCACCATCAAACCGACCCTAATGATTCTGTTTGAAGTATTTTCTATTATTTTCCATAATAGAGACAACAACTTGCAGCATCTGATTGGTTCTGTCTTTCAATTTTAACTGTTTTAATGTTTGGTTCTGCGACCTTAAAAGGAAAGGTTTCTATATGTTGATAGTTGAGAAAAAAGGATTTTGGAGTGAAAAGCTTAGGTTTGATAAGAGATATGAGAACACAACAATTGAACTGTTACTTTGGTGTCTGCTTCCCAATGATTGAACCAATTAATTGTGTATGGTGCTTAAATATTTTTAATAGGATTAGTCAACTGCTTTTCTAGCCAGCATTAGTAATCCAGTTTTCAGTTCTGAAATCTAGACAATGTTGGGAAGGAGTTGCTGGTGCTGATCAAATGCAACATGCATGTGGCTTATTAATAGCTTAGGATTAATTATGGTATGGCTATTGCCATTACAATTTAATAATGGTCAATCCTTTCCTGTACAGGAATGTTTTCATGCTTGTGTATCTGGCTGCGGTTACAAGGTCAGTTTGATTTCAAGAACATAAATTTTGCTTAACTTGTCATATGTGTTCCATCTTGTCCCTCCCCCAAACACACACAAAAGGGGCTCTTGAATGAGGTCGTAAGGAAGGGCTTTTAGAATCTATTTAACAAGAGGGAATGATGCTTGTGAATTTGCTATTCTTGCTTCATATAAGCAGTTATTTATTTGAGAAAAAAAAAGGAAATAAAAGAAACCATATAATGATTGTGATTTTTAACTAGTCTGTAGAAACTTCTTTGCATCCCATATGATCTTGTATCTTGCCTATAGCTAGGTTCTCTTGTTGCTCATGAATCATGATGCTTATCTGGAATTTCAGTCTCAAATCAGTTTTATTACCTTCAATGAATTCTCACGTTTGTAATTTCAATAATTAAATAGGGAAGTATATCCCAAAATTCATTTGTAATCCCATCCAAGGTTTTAAATTTATAGCCTCCATTTAAATAGCGTATATCATCCATACTTTTCTGTTGCTTTTGTGGTTTCCATGTATTAAGCTGTCACTATTGAATGACCAATTTATTTTAGTGAATCATGTTGCGGATTTACACTTTCCTTATCTGTCTCTCTAATTTAATTTCAACAATATTCAGTAGTCTACATAATCCTGACTAATATATTAAAAAAATGACTTGTAATAACCCCATTATATATCTTCAAATATTGCAGTTTGAGGTTAAAGCAGAGGAAGCTGATAAAGTGTGTCCTAACAGGAAACCAAAGCCTAAGACTCGGAAGCCAAAGCCACAACCTGTATACCCCAATGACCCGCCTGGTGATATGCCCGGCACTTCTGCGTAGAAAAACACAGCATAATTTAAAAATATCCAAAACTCTTTGTTGGCTATATCAAGGAATCTTTTCTTTCCTTTTTATACCTTATATCTTGTTACTAATTGTTATCAGCATTGGAAAGTTGATGTCCTAGGCTTTCAAATTTGAGACATTTGAACCTGTTTAAATATAAGTTAAAAGTATTTTTTTTTAGAACTTTTCTATTTAAAAATAAAGAATATTTTTTAATAGGAAAGTTCTCAGAAATACTTCTAAGTTTGTATCCAAACAGATTCTTCATTTGATTATTTCAGTCATAAATCTGGATCAAATCATGGTGAATGACAGGCAGCAGTTAGTGTAAGAAAAACTGATCATCACTCCCGTCTTGTACCCACAATCTGACCAAATGAATTTAGATTAACTCCCAAGCCCAATTTGATGTTATAATCTTCACTTGTTTTTGTGACCCTTCTGTATCTATAACTTTACAATTGTCTAAAGATTGAAGAACTTTTGGACACTATTCATATGTAAGGATAATATTATCTCATTTTCTGTAACAACTGGAAGTTCAGGCACCATATAGACACTCACTGCACTACTTATCAAAGTGGTATATTTATGTTTTTTTTTTCTGGAGCGGTGACTTGGGTCATCGATAATAAGTTAGTTTACAATTAAAAATAAATTTTTAAAAAAAGTAATTTTTTAAGAAATAAATGATAGTTGCTTAAAAAAAATAGAAAACTATATTTTATGAGTAAGAAAGTCAAGTTTTCTTTTGTTTTTCTTAAAAAATAGTTTATCTTTCAGTTCTTATATTTAATAATCATTCATTTTAATTCCTATATAAGCAATTTCAATTTTCTTTTGGTCCATACCATTTAAAAAAAAATGGTCCATGTCACCACTTGTGAATATGATATGTGTTGTACTTTGCATTTTAGTCACTATACTTGCTCCATTTTATATGTTGGTCTTTATATTTATACAACATTTACCTTTTAGTGACTTAGAAATTACTCATTTTAGCTCATATACAACCAAAAAAATTTTATGCTTTAATCCTTATCAGCATTTTTTTACCTCGTCCTCTTTCTTCTCATCCCCTCTTTATTCCCTTCTTTTCTTTCTCCTCATCAACACCCATTTTCTCTTTTTTACTTCAAGGGTTATGCTTCTTTTAAATTATCTTACATTAGGTAATTTCTATCGACCTAAATCATAGTCTCAATATTGCAAAGTTGATGTATTCCTAAGGCAAGATAAATAAACTTGCATTTAGCCATTTATGTTAGCATTCCTTGTAGCAAAGGCATATTACATCATTTTAATCTTATGGTATTCTATACTCGAAAATATGAAAGTTGGCGCTTAATTTATTTTCCATATCACATGATGCTACTGTCATACGTCGACACCAAAAATCGCCTCAACTCGCAATGTGTTAAAACCATTTTCATTTTCAAATTTCTAGCGCTGTAACAACCATTAGATTGTTTTGACAATTTTGTATTGTCAATTACAATTTTGTTGTAGTATTAAAGAATGTCAACATAAATCGTTACTTGCAAATTACGCTGTCTTATTCAACAAGAGCGTCTAAACTATGCAATCTTGAACTGGTTTAAGGTTAGTGAGAATTAATTTATGTAAGACTTAAAAGGATAAAAACTCAAAATAAAAGGAGAAAGAAGAGAAAAAAGTCTAAAAAAAAATATACATATCAGCGTCAAATGAAAATATAAGTATAAAAAGTAGAAGGTAAATGTTATACAAGTATAAAAACTAAAATATAAAAATAATAAAAATATAAAGAGTAAAATGTATATCGCAACACATGTCACTGTCATGTCACATTTATTGTTAATGGCATTAACATTTTTGTACCACGACTAAAAGGAAACTAAAAGTGTTTGTCAAACGACAAACAAATTGTTTTTAAGTGGAGGAGCTAAACCAAAATTTGTGCGACTATAAAAATCAAATGAATAATTAAACCTAAAAATAAAAGTTTCGCCACATCATTAAAAAAAAAGGATTCATTTAAGATTCCCATTTTTCAACAAATATTTTTTTCATACAAACAAAAATGGAACCCTTACCTTGACCCCATGATTAAGTCAAAACAAAACAAATTTACCTTGAAGGCAAAGATATCCCATTTCCTATGAATTCCAAAAGGGTGAAAAATATGAAACAACAAGTGAGATGAGGGTGCCAATATGATGACCAGATTGCTTTCTCCATGGCTGCTTCCATTGGATGTGGGCAGGAGCAGGATGCATGAGATGGTCTTGCCTTGCTTGCTACTACTTTTGACGGCGTAAAAATTCTCGTACATGGTGATGTGCCTCAGTCTTAACCACCATATGCATTTTCTTTGAATCCTCCCACAACAAACCATTCCATTCTCTAGCACAGTCACATGCACCTTCAAATACATCCTGCCCACAAATCATACAAATAATCACACACACAACACAATGGCACATAAACTCAAATTGATGATGTTAAGAACCTGTTTGGATATAAATTAGAGGCGTTTTTTTAGAACTTCTGTACTAAAAATAAAAAATATTTTTCAATAGAAAATCCTCAAAAGCGTTCCTAATCTTGTATCCAAATAAACTCTAAGTTGCTTACTCTGGAAGGAAACTCATCGTAATAATGTGCTTCTGTCATCTCAACTCTGTTTAGATCTGCTTCCCACAGCCTTATCTGTCACCGTTACAATGCTACATATCAGAAAATGAAAACAAACAGTACACAAGAGTGCATGCAAAAAATGCAAAATTAAGATCCAACACCTGATCTGTGACATTTTCAGGCACCGAGGGTACCCTCTCTGCAACACGAGGATGAGCATTTTGCTGAAGGAAGCTGACTATCTGTAACATCAAAGCACACGGTTGTCTCAAGTGAAATTCTAAAAGTCAATTCAAACAAACAAAATATGCTTAACCTTTAAAGTTTAAGGACCTGTTTGTTACAACTATTTTCATTAAAAAAAATCACTTTTAAAGTTTTTCATTTATTTGTTTCAAATTTTCAAAAAAAAATTATATGCTAAAGAAATCTAAAATCTGATTAAAATCATAAACAAGAGAAGTGATAACAAGACACTATTTAGAATATTCATTCAAATACAATCTATTCTTTTATTGGTTAAAATTTATTAAAAACTATAAAATCTCAAGTGAAGTTCGTTAAATAAGTTGGGCTTACATAATTTTGTGATTTTCAATAAATTTCAACTAATAGTAAAGTGTGATGCTAGAATTCTTCTAGAAACTATTTTGAAAAACTTCCCATAAAGGGTGTGTCTGGAAAAGCTGTGAAAATTAACTGTTTTTTGTGAAAAGTGATTTTTACAATTGTAAACAAACATAAATTAACTTTTTTTTTAAATATCTAAAAAATAATCATTAGATTACTTTACGCCCAAATCAGTTTTTTTTAATCTATAACAAATTGGCCCTAAGATTAAAGAAAATTCATATGGAAATTCTAGATTTCTTTCTTGAACACTGATTTACATGAGTTAAGGCTCGCATAGAAATTAAAATGAATATTGATTACAAGGATCACGAAGATCTCCCCATTTCATTCAAAACAGAAAGAAAAAGAAAAAAAATATAACCTATGAAGATTGTAAAAGAATTCCAGAAGCTTTGGTGACTCAAGCATATCAGGGGGAGGAAGTGTATAGCAGTAAACAAATGCATCTATTCATCAATGCAGGTCATTCAAAAGAAAGGTCAGTGGGTTTTAAGGTTGAGGCTGGTCCCTACATATCATGTTATTCCTGGGGCAGAACTACTTATGTAAAGGTTAATTTTACAAAACTAAATGGTAAAAATAAAAACAATGTTCAGGGAGCAAACAAGCAAAGCATGGCAAGAAATATACCATTACCAATATCTATCTGCAGAAACCAAATAGTATCATATTTTAAAAGCAGATATTACACAATAAAAAAAAATATTTTCTAATACTTACCTGATCTGCTGTAATGCCATTTTCAAAAGCATTATACAAGCTTTCTTTTGTAATAGCCCCAACAATAAGATTTGGAAGTTGATACTCTACCCTGGATACAACACATGTACTGATATTAAGCAATAATATTTTGTTGAAATAGGCAGCTAAAAAATTAATAGCTAATTAATGGTTTCATACAAAAAACTAGAAGCTTTATTTGACATAAGTTGTATAACATTTTACAAAGTATTTGGTGGCGTACCTTGAGAATAGCCGCAATATCTCACAATGTAATTTCGAAGTCGAGTAAGCATACACTCTAAAATTTGTTTCCACAACCACGAAACCCTGAAGAAATTAAATATAATGACATTTTTCCTTAATATTCACAAAACTGTACAGGATTTTTTTTTTAAAAAAAAGGCATATTTCTTGTTACTATGACAGAAAGAATCCATTTATTAAAGCCAACCAAAGGTTAATTGACATGTTGGGTGGTCATCAGTCTGAGGTAGTAAGTGGCGATGGTGATACAGTCAACAAAAGATTCTTGAACAAGAATCAACATATCTCCTATGTGTAATCCAGTAAAACTTGAAAATTCAGAAGAACACGAGTATGCAAGTTTGGAATGATTGTGATGAAGCAACCAAAACATCTAACCAACAACAGTAATATCCACACATATGAACAAGCAAAACAACTGGGCCATATTTATTGAATAAATCACATTAATACTAAAAAAATATGGAGCATGCGCCAAAAGGTCTTCTAAACCTACAGACACACATGAACAAATACATTTTAAAAAGGAACATCTAAATCAGTTTCAAAGTTTACTTTTTTTATTAGAAAGTAAATTCTATTAGAAGGAAATATAAAGAGAAGAATAAGCTACCCTAAGTGAACAAGGTACAAAGGAAAAAATGCAGCTGAAACAAACAAACAAACACATTGATACTATAGAGCCTCCACTATTAAGCACATCTGTGAAAGAGTTATCCTAAAAGAAACCCCATTGTAAAACAAGGCCATGTTCTAAATTCAGTATCAAAATAATCCATTTTGAAACCAATAAAAAACCTGTTTTCTAGATGATGAATCAGACAAGCTCATTGAAAGATTGGTTGCCAATTTTGTAGGTATAAACCAACTTCCTTTCCTGCCCTATAAAGTTGCCAACAAAGAAGACAGTAAAGGGAGTTAAATACTGATGAATAAATATACAATTTAAATGATCATGAACCATGTCACATCTGAAAAATAAGGAAGGAAATATTATAACCTGCTGAAGTTTGACTAGTCCAAGGTCTGCTAGGTCATTAATTATGTTCCTCTGAAAATCAGTCAATGTGTTTATACTATATGCCTGATGCATTGAAAAATCAAGTGTGTCAAAATCACATTGAATTCCAGTACACGTATACGAAGTATATTTGTGGCATCAGTAAACATGGCTATAGATAAAAAGGAACAAGAAAGCAAAAGTCTCCAAAATTTGTGAAAGTAATGTAGAATACCATCATATTAGTTTTTATGCAACAAAATTCTCATCAAAGAACAAAAGTGTCTTACCTCCCCAATGACATGAAAACTAAGTTCCAGCATGAATGAGATCAACTCAGCTGCATCAACACCTCTCTCCTGTATCATATATGGAGCATGAAGAGCATGTAGAAAACAAATGGCAAAATTATTATTAAAAAAAAAAAAAAAGCAAAGTTAGAGCTACCTCAGAGTTAGAGATATATTCTCTAATGATGTACCAAAGCTGTGCATTTGTATCCATCAGCTGTAATTCACAAGGAACCATATTTATATTTAGGAGAACGCATTACATCAAGTACAATTGGCTTATAAATCATTTGATGCATACCAAAAACTGGAAACCACTTTCAGTTAATTTTGGAGCTTCTTTGTCTCTGTATTGGATCATGAGAAATGACATCAAACAAGAGATACAGTCTGCAATACCCACATAAACATACAAACAACTAATACTAATGAGAGGTGCTACTGCCAAGGAAACAAAACCTGTGACTTAGGATACGCCGCTGAAAAACTTTCATCAATGAAGAGCTAATATTTAAGGGCTTTTCAACCTGACTTGGGCTTATAAGTTGCAATAAGAAACACTTGTTCATCACAAAACAAAGTAACAGAAGAGTTTAGGCTCCATTAGAGTCAAAATTTAAGCAAGGTTCTGCATATCAAATAACTAGAGAAACTTATGTAAAAAATAAAATAAATAAAAGTACAGCTATTTTTTTGAAGGAAAAAAAAAAGTGGAATGAAAAGATCAAATATTGTACCTCCCATTGCTCTAGAGCATAAGCCTCAAGATTCTCTAAGGTTGGGAGCCTCACAGTAATATTAGAAGGCATTGATTCCCTTGGCAAAGTTCCACTGCCATTTTTAATCACAAGGAGATATTATTAGCAACGAAAGCAAATATTTTATTTGCAGTATGACTACAGTCTGCATTCTAATTATTACATCACAGTAATGGATCTTGTTGACAAATTTAGAATGGAGTGACTCTGGTCATTTAATTTCATGGAGAGACCATCTGCTATCTATATAGGTGAATTAACCCATAACACATAAAGTAGAAGTGTATTACCACATGACTCAAATAAACAATTTTGCAAGTTGCATCCTCATCATTGCAGGGAAGAGAACAAGATGAGCTAACTATTACCATGGTCCATAAAGAGAAAAAGAAGAAAAAACAATGTATTACTCACCCTTGGACTAAAAGTTTTTGTAGACTTCTCTGAAATGTTGGATTAACTTTGTAAGTCTTTTCATTTTTCCTGACAGAAGGAGAAAATCTTACTCAAGAAAATGGGATAAGACAAGGCTCCGAAGGCTAAAAACAAAAACATACAGAGAAGAATAATAAAATATACAATCCAGAGAAATGAACCACATATTGATATCAGTTCCTCTTAATAGTAAACTGAAAGGGGAAAAAATGAAATGAATAGAACTAAGTGATCAGTATTAAGAATAAACCACCTTATGTTATGAACTATGAAGTGATTGCTAACTTTACACAACTGTGTTCAGAAAAAAACAAAGGGGAAAGCAAACAAATATCATGCATGCCATGGAGCCTGCAAATCAGATAAGCAATTTCCATCAAACTACAACATGTCACAAATAAAATAAGATTTTATCACAAGGGCCTTTAAACACATGACAAGATGCCAAAAAAAAAGGGGTATTTGTCCACTTTCCACCATACTAAGGCCTAGCAATTGTCCTATTGTCAATTAATATGAATTGAATCAGCTTGAACAAGTCAGAAGCACAAATTTCTACTTTTCGTATGCATAAAACATATATATATATAAATAAATAAAATAAATAAACATTTCATTAGAGAATAAACACATACCTGTCAACGGCTTCAAGGAAAACTCTCAATTGAACCAACCTATCAATGGCCACTCTGTGCTTTGAAACCCCATCCGGAAGCACCCACTCCTCCAACAATTTAGCTGCCACAGGCACATCAATATGCAGCATCTGTATGACGTATTTCTTCGCAAGCGGCGGAAGAGACCTGATATTCTAAGATATGTGATTGTTAAAGCCACAAAGTAATCCTCAAGAAACTCATGAACAAATATCACTTCTTTAGCCCACTTAACTCTTAACTAGGAAAAAACCGAATCCACAATAATGGCACCATCATGTTGTCAAGTTGGTGATCTTTTGTATTCCAAAAACAGATACTTGCAACACACTCTATATTACTGACTTAAATTTATTAAAACCCAAATAATTGTGGGTCTCATTTTTTATTTAATGATTTTTGTAGTTTCTAATAAATTTTAAGTGATAACAAAGAGTATGTTAGAAGGAGTGCCTTAATGATTATGTTGCTAACACTCCTCTTCAGACAAAGCCAAAAACTATTAAAAGTAGACACCATATGCAGGGAGGGTAAATGTATAAGAATCTGTTACTAAGGCAAAAAAGATTGCATAAACATTTCCACAAGTTTGCAAAATATCCACAATTGATTTCCAACAAAAAAAGAGATACAAAGGAAACTTTGAACCCAAAATAATTAGCAGAACTTAGTGCCACTACAAAGTACAAAAAATGACCTGAGAATAGCTTCACATATGAATCCATTTTCATAGAGCTTATCGAGCTTCATGGCTTGCATGGAAGCCACCATGTCCATGAAATTCTTGGCAATGATCCTAACCTCTGGCATTGTGATTCTGACCCAACACCTTTTTTTTTTTCTTTAATCGGATTCAGATTAAAGGGGTCTTTATGAAGAGCTTCAATAACCAAACCGAAAGATAAAGCGTGTGACTTTATGAAAACCCATCACGAACCTCGCTCGGTTCCATAATTGAAGGGCATACAGAAACACCTTGCAGAGTGAAATTGAAGGATCGATTGAGAAGGTAACACGCACCGTTTTGGAATTGAAACGATCACATGAAGTTGGGGAGTGAGGGTGGTGAAGAGAAGAGAAGTACTTTCACTGCTTTTTGTAGGAAAATTGGTTAAGCGGCTATGGCAGTTCTGATTCTGTGAAGTTATAAGAGAGGCTAGGGGAAGCAAAACACCAACCAGGAGAAGAACAAAATACAACTTATTACATTTCTTTCAAAAACAGATATTTTTTTTATTTAATCAACTCCTCACCTATATATATTGATACTAATTTTTAATATAATTTATATATTAAAATAAA